TTGACACTAAAATGCTGATTATATCATTGTGGGTTTAAAAAAAAAAAAAATATATATATATATATCATTTATTTATTTATTTTTATTAAAGCAAACAACTTAATTTTAAAGTCTTATAACCTTTATTAAGCTGCAAAAAAGTGAACATTTTAAAGCTGAACAGAAACTATTTATATTTGGTTGTAGATAGCTAGCAATTTACCGTCTTTTTGTTTCTTCTTTATTTCTTACGCACGGGTTAAAAAACTAAATCAACTTTATTGACTCAACTTATAATTAAAAAAAAGATAAATTCAGTGAACTGTTCTCTTCCTATGGGATTACAGAAACATAAAATGGTTTGATTTATGTTCTTGCATGTCTATCATAACTGGGTTTAGTCTTTGGTTATGGGCCTCTTGTTAGAAGAGCAGATACTGAATGTATTCTACAAATCTTTAGCTTTACCTCCGCTGTTCAAAGAAGAACTTACGGACGCAAAGGCTACAGAGGGGGAAAAGGCCGTCCTTCGATGCGAGCTCACCAAACCCGACGCCACCATAGAATGGAGAAAAGAAGGCCAAGCTTTGAAAGCTGGCGCCAAGTACACCGTGAGGCAGGAAGGGCCCGTTGCCGAATTATTAATTAACAGTCTTAACGAGAATGATGCCGGGAGTTACATGTGTGTCTGTGGAGATCGGAAAACCACAGCCACTTTGACTGTAAAGGGTAAAATAACTGAAATTTTCTTTGTTTTTTTGTTTTCATCATAATCATTAAACAAACGTGGGCTCTGTATACACAAAACTTTTTTGTTTGAGTGCATGGTATAAAGTTATCTAGCAATATTGGCATTGCTATTAGTAGGGCCATCTATGCCATGGAGGTCCCTTGAGATAACCAATGCAAAAAGGTGTAACCTAGTCTTCCAGTTTGCAGGCTGGGCATGGGATGAACAAGTAATTGTTAGGGCGATGGAGTTAAGGTGGCATAGGTAAAGTGAAGTGGTTCGTCTGGTAGTGGTGCCACTTGTTCTCGATACATTTGCTGGATAGGTTTAGCTTTATCTTTTTAACAGGCTTCTTATGAGTAAGTTACAAGTTCCTAATCGCTTTATGAATACAACTTTTCTTTTCTGGGGGGCTGTCCATCCAACTCTTCTTTGTGTCATGAAGTACTAATTCTTCTCTAAAATCAACTCTAACGCTTAACCAATGACATTTTATATCTTTGATATGCATTAGCTCTTCCAATCCTCTTTAAAGAAAAACTGGTGGACGCAGAATCTATGGAAGGAGAAAATGTTACCCTCTGCTGTGAGCTCACGAAACCAGCCAACGCTGTTGTGTGGAAGAAAGGTCACATGGCCTTGAAACAAAGCGATAAATACATTATGACCTTAAAAGACGCAGTCGCTGAACTGACCATTCACGATCTCGATTTTAAAGATGGAGGACATTACAGCTGCTTATGTGGAGAGCAGGAAACCACAGCAAACGTGAAAATCAATGGTAAACCTCAGGCTATTTCTTTGATATAATATTCATACAGATATTATCTTCTGGATTCTGGATTAGGGTTAGGATTAGGTTTGTATAACCCATATTTCAGTTGACTTCTTCTGTGCTATCTTTAGCCAAGCCTGCGCTTTTCAAAGAAGAGTTGAAGAGAGAAGAAGGCAAGGAGGGTTCTTCGGTGACACTGCGTGGAGTGCTGACCAAACCTCCAGTGGTTATTGAGTGGAGAAGAGGAGACAAGGTGCTCCGGCCAAGTCACAAGTATGACATGACACAGGAGGGGACAATGGTAGAGCTCTTAATACGAAATCTGGAGCTAGAAGACACCGGAGAATACACCTGTGTTTGCGGAGAGGAACACTCCACAGCTGTACTTTTAGTAAATGGTAAAGCCATTCTTAATTTTTTACCATCTTTCCTCTTCTTTCTACCTTCTTTGTGCCAAACTGCTCTTCTCAATGTACATTATAGTCTTAACGTTTATTCTGTTTTATCTCTGATGTGTTTGTCCTGCTTGTCTTTCATTGTCTATGTATCTGTCAAACTAGTAGCACGCATTTTGTATATTTAAGTAGCTGTAAAGCTTTTACCATATTCAACCATATTAACTATACCACATAAAATAATTCCGCCCACGGTACCTTTTTTCTTTGGTTTTATTTGAGGTTTTACAAATGTAAGGAGCTTTTGCCAGCAAGACTCCTTAGCTGTCAAACAGGCTTTGCTGGGTTGAGCGGGGGGGGGGGGTTGGGGGCATCAGCCTTTAATGTCACAGGCTGACTATGGGTCTACACCACGGAGTCCTGTAGGTACAACTGAAGAAATGGGGGATGGCAGCCTTACTATGCTTCTACTGGCCTGCCACTTTTCTAGTTAGCTGGGCCAGAAAACAACGGGGAGGCCTGGGTTCCCGAGGGGACTTATAGGATCACCAGGTATTTAGTGAGAATTGCACAATGCATAAAAGGAAGCATTACAATTACTTTGAGGGACAGAAGAATGCAATCCAAAATGTTTTAGAATGAAACTTACACACACACACACACACACACACAGTATAATGATGCCCTGTGCTATGAAGACTAGTAGTGGACAAACTAAGATGTAATAAAGGTGTCATTCAGTTTAAACTTTTTTGGAGCCTGGACACAAGTACCTTCAAGAACTAAAAAAGATGGAAAAGTTATGAACAGCTAGCAATATTTTAGGCACTATTTTAAGACTACACCGCTAGTTGATCTGCATCCTGTCCAGGCTTGGTTAGAAGTTAAATTTTTTCCCATTTGCATTATTACACATCTCATTACTATGATAATTTAAGCTATTGACCAAAAGAGAGAGAGAGAAAAGTGTTGAAATGGTTTTGGTGTTTATTTTTGTATGTTTTAATGTTATTCAGTGTTATTAATATGTACAGTTTGAAAGAACGTTATCATATATGTATGTATGTTGTTCAAAGTTTTGACCCCACATATTTACACATTACCTTCCGCGTTACTTAGCACTGCCCGTCCACTTCAAGCATGGGCTGAAGGACGAGAGAGCAACAGAAGGTGATAAAGTAATCCTCCACTGTGAGCTTAGCAAACCTAACGTGCCCGTGCAGTGGGAAAAAGATGACAAAGTTCTTCCTAAATCGGAGAGGCATGTCTTCAGACAAGATGGCTTAGTGGCAGAGCTTGTCATGATAGATGTCAATGAAAATGATGCGGGAATGTACAGCTGTGTCTGTGGAGACCAAAAAACATCTGCGTTCTATATATAGATAGATATATATAAAATAAATATATATATATATACAGTATATATACTGTGTATATATATATACACACATACTTACACACTCAGAAACACCTTGGACTTCATAGTGTTGGGTGTATTCATCTTAAACTTTCTTTAACTCCAGTAATATTATTGAAAAGCCACTCTTGGAACAACCGTCTTGATTCAGTAGGGTATATCATTTTGATTTACCTCCGATGGACCGGCCCTTTAAAAATCCTGCTAACTCAGGAATAGTACAAAAATAGACAAGATAAGACATAGCTGCTATGGCTTGCTAGGTATTCAGATTAGTTCGTTTATGTTCATGATGATCAGCAGCATGTGTATGTGTGCGTACCATTAATAATGTATTCTACATTCTGCCAGCTTTGCCACCCAAGTTCAAAACCGGGCTAAAAAACAAAGAAAGTGTGGAAGGGCAGTCGGCCGTTTGGAACTGTGAACTGACCAAGGCAAACGCTCACCTAGAGTGGAGGAAAGGAAACCTGGTCCTCCAGCCAAGCGATAAGTACACAATGAGCCAGGACAGCTTCAACGCCGAGCTTGTAATTCATAACTTAGATTTGCAAGATGGAAGCCAATACTCTTGTGTGTGTGGAGAACAACAGACTTCAGCTACATTAGTAGTGAATGGTAAATGATTGACCACAACTATTGTACTATTATGTTTTCAATAATACTAGTAACGTAGATCTGCTAAATTCATAAAAGCTCGAATTAACCGAGTGCTTTCAATGGCTGATAACTTTCTAAATTTGAATGTTGTTACTAAACTCTTACTTGTTGTCTAAACTCAACTTTCTTGGCGAAGAACTGTGATCAAGAATGTGCTCTGTGTTTTTATAAGTACCCCCTGGAGATTTTTGCAAGTACCTATGGATCTTGCCAGTAGAACTTTTGGGTAGGCACTTCCTTTTATAGCATGACAACACTCTTTTTTTCGGCAGTTAAATCATTGCAGCTTTTTCTTGACCATCTACTGCTCATATGCTGGCATTGTTGATAGCCCTATCAATAAATAGTAGGGATGCACCCATACCAAGTACCGTACTCGGTACAAGTACAAGTACAGATACTTTTTGAGCTCCAAGACTAGACTAGAGAAAAATTCAAAAGTTAGGAGGCCGCTGTCATTTGTGAGGAGCACACGGAGCTCCCGGGATTTGTAAATCTCTGTTTTATTGTATGATTTTGGTTTTATAAACCCATATAATGGGATGCACCAATACCCGTTTAGCAAATACGAGTACTGATACATTTTTGTTTATTGTCATGTGACAGTTTTTCTAAAACAATATCGACTAATGATTTCAGGACAGTGGTGGAGTACCAGAGCCCGGGCCCAGCTGCAACTGCTGCAACCCTGGTAGTATTCATGAAAATGCCAAATATCGGCACTGGTACTCGAAAAGTGACGGTGCATCCCTAATAAATGAAGCACGACCCACAGCCCTTTACATTGCTCTATCTGAAGGAGCATAGGGAAATGATCTAAAAGCTCTGCTTGGTACCTCTGACCCCTGACGGTCTGTCAGGCATCCGGGAAAATGCAGCTTTTAGCTGCATTACATTTCTATTAAGATGTTTAACCTTCCAACTTGGGTTGACAATGCTTTTCAGAGAGAGAGAAAATAAATTCAGACGGACTTTAACAAAATGTCCACCAAACATAATTGTTTAAGGATACGGTTGCTTTTCCAAACATGTTCAGTGGTATGCCGTATATCAACTTTGAGTCTCCAAAATCATGTTAAAAAGATCAGATTTGCCACACAAAAGAATTTAGGGGCGTGAAATAAGGTGTTTTTGCTTCCCGTTGGCTTTTTCCATTGGGCTTTTTATACGCATGAATCCCTATCCAAATCCTGCTGCCTTCACCTTCGTAATATCTCCAAAATAAGCCCCTTCCTCACCAAAGAAACCGCAATATTACTCTCTGAGCTGTGTCAGTGACAGCCAGCAGATGTGGCAGAATAGGCCGGTTACAACGGCGTTTTGCAGTAAAGAAGGAGGCGGGGCCCGCCTAACAGCAATCCCGCCTCCTCTCACATCACTGGCCAGCGATCTAAGAGCAGGTGGGGCCAGTGATGTAAGAGGAGGCGTGGCCCGTCGATAGAAGGAGGCAGAGCCCGGGGACGGAAGAAGAAGGGGGGGTCCCGGCGACCACAGAGGTGGACAACGCTGACAGGTAAGAGGCGTACAGCCCAACTGAGACCTTGCAGAGCCCACTATAGAGAGTCTATGGTGTGCTCTGCAAGTGGCATAACTTGAGAGTCTATGGGGCCCTGTGATTTCCAGTTACGCCCCTGCACTCAACCAACACGTTGTCAAACAATTCATCCCAACACAGCTACCTCCTCATGTATCACTTCCCCCTCCCTTTTAGATTGTAAGCTCTCAGGGGCAGGGCCCTCCTTACCATCTTGTCTTGAATTGTATTGTGATTGTAATGTCTTCCTTATATTGTAAAGCGCTGCGCAAACTGTTGGTGCTATATAAATCCTGTATAATAATAATAATATTGATGGTGGCCGAGTGAAAAATCTAGTTTTAGAAACAAAATCAAAGTCTCACTGTCTGTTTAAAGGTTGCCTGGGTGGGGAACGAACCTAAGATCCTAATTGTAAGTCTGTCTGTCTCAATTTTGTGCTAGCTTTGCCACCAGAATTTAAGGAGGAACTGAAAAGCCTTGAAGCCGTAGAAGGAAACTCTGTAACTTTGCACTGTGAGCTGACCAAACCGAATGCTTCCCTCGAATGGAGGAAAGGACATAAAATTATCAAGTCAAGTGAAAAGTACAAGCTTGTGCAGGAGGGCCTTGTGGGAGAACTGGTTATAAATAATTTGGACCAACAAGATACCGGAAGATACATTTGCGTCTGTGGAGATAATCAGACCGCCGCAACATTGACTGTGAAGGGTATTCTAGAATTCCAAGTCTTCTTTAGATGTCCATTAACACCGTCAGTTTTTTGTGTTCGGCTTCACCATTTAATCAAGCATCTTCTCCTTCCCTCCTCCCATCGTCATCAGCTATTTGTGTCCATCTTCACAACTTAATCAAGCATCTTCTCCTTCCCTCCTCACCATGTTGGACCCACTGCTCATTCAGTTTTTACTCCTCACTTTTAACATCTAATCCTCAGTCACTGCCAGTTGTTGGTTCTGCGGCTGATTTATAAATCAAATCTTTTTTTTTATAATTTCAGCTCTTCCTCCACAATTTAAGGAAGAACTAGTGAACAAGGAATGTGTTGAAGGTGAGTCGGTGACTCTGCACTGCGTGTTGACCAAGCCAAAAGCTTCTCTGGAGTGGAAGAAAGGCCAGAAGACACTTAAACCTGGAGATAAATATAAATTTGTCCAGCAAGGTCTTGTCGCTGAGCTGGTTATTAGTCAACTGGAGCTGGAAGATGCAGGAGACTACACGTGTGTGTGTGGAGAACACAAAACAACTGCTTCCGTAAATGTCAAGGGTAATTTATTTATTTATTTATTTATTACTTTTGAGAACCTAACAACTTCCAACCTCGTTCTTCACCAGTTTCTATCACCTCTTCCATCGCTCCCTCTTTTCCTTCTTCCATCTTGTTTCATTTCCCATTTACATTGTCTTTCATCAGGATCGCTATTCTTGTCTTTTCATTTGTTCCAGCCTACCATATGTCACTCTACATTGTTAATCCCTTAACTAAGTCTTCACTTTGTAACTAATGTTGGATTTTTTTTATTGTATAAAATATATTTTTACTATGAACAATTAGTAGAGAATAGAGATAGATCAGATGAAGAGCTGAAGATGGGCACAATTCTCCATACTTAGTAAAATATCTGATGCTGACTCACAATAAGGAGAAATACCACCAAATAGAAAATAAGTATTTTGAAAAGACTCAATTACTGACCAATATACGGAAAGTCTCGCATGTGCGATTCGTTTTGTTCCGAATCCCAATGCATCCAAATCTGAATTTCGATTTCTGAATTTCGGATCCCATCTGAATTTCGTAAAAAAACGAAACTGAATCGGACGTGTGACTTTTTATGGCCAATCAGATGTGTTTTTAATGCATCCGAATGGGTTTGAACGCGTATGTTCGTTACGGCAACATGGGAGTTATATACAGTACATACATATAATACTAAAGCTGAGGCTCCCAGAACTGAATGGCACTCTGGAGCTTACGAATGCAATTCGGATCCTGAATGCCATTCGGGTCTGGGAGATTCAGCTTTAGTATTAATATCTGTATATGGTTTTCTGTGGTATTCGCAACGAATATATTCGTAAACTCACCTGAAACTAATGAAAATTCGGATTTCGTCCGATTCCGAAACCAGAACGGAATTTCGGATCCGAATCCCAAATAACCGAACCAAACCGAATTTTTCCGCAGCTTACATGTCTACCGAGTGTCCAAGCCCACCAACTGGATAAAGATTATGTGGTCAGGAATGTAACTGAAGTAATACCTTAGATACCTAATCATTGGGCACGCCTAATATCGTATAAACCTGATGGGTATGGGAAATGCTACTCCTTTTGTAAATACTGTAATATTGGCATTAAATTCCAGTATTGCTGTCCAGGGCCATAAAATTCTGGCCTCTTGGCCACCCTGTTAATGAGGGTCAAGGATGCTCTGACTGATGGCAGAACACTTTCAACACAATTCCTACTTTTTAAGGGCTATAGAAGCATGAGGAAGGAACTATTTCCGAAACAAACTTTAAGAATCTCTTATCTGACAGTACCATCTGTTCATGGCAAACCATTATCTAGACAAGTTACTGGTTTGTCAAAACTGCTAATATCCTCTGTGGTGTTTTGGCATAAAATGATGAGTTTGTTGTTTTAATTTGTTCATGTTTGTCACAGTTGTCAGTTTCAGTTCTTTCCAGATCTCCTTCTCTTGCAATATGTATCCGACACTTTACCTTGCATGCCATAGCACTTTAAAAGGCCCTGCCAGGTCTCTAAACAAACCAAAAGGCAAATTCCCAAGAGAAGAGGTAGTAAACTCACCTGCCTGGCAGCCCATGACTTCTATTACCTCCCACGTTTTGCTCCAGAGCAGCAGCCTCTGGCAGTCTTTTTGGCATTCAGCAGTTTTGAGAATGTCTGTGTCCTCCACCACGCATGTGCATGGCTGGTAGCAAAAGCGGCTGACACTTCCAGAAGTGTCGCATGCCAAACCGATTGCTGCACTGGAACATAGGGAGGTAGGAGTCATGGACCTCCCGAAAGGTAAGACCCCATTCACACTGAGCGATTTGTAGCACGATTTCCGCTCAAAAATCCCTCAGTGTAGCGCGTTCAATGCATTTCAATGGAGCTGTTCACATCTCACAGCTCAATGTCGCCTGTAGCGTGTAGCTCAAGCTTGTTACTCGAACATGACCTATTTTTCCAGCGGATTTTGTGCAATTTGGCCCCAATTGGCTTTTTGCTAAACTGCCAAAAGAAGCGCTACGTAGTGTGATAAAATGTGCACTGTAGCTGCGCTGAGAAAATGCTTTTTTTTATGTGGCTCAGTGTGAATGGGGTCTGAGAGTTATTCTATTGCCTGAAACTGGCCTTTCCATTTGTTTAGAGACCGTAAAAGTTTTGTAGGACATGAACAAAAATAATAGAATTTAACAATAAAGAGTGCCGCTACCCAACTATCGTGAGCGCCATATAATCAACGTGCTGTTAATTCTGTATCAGCCCTTCCGACACAATTTAGAAAGGAGTTAAAGAGCAAAGAAGTCCCTGAGGGAACTTTAGCCGCGCTAATCTGTGAGTTGACCAAATCTGACGCGTTCCTAGAATGGAGAAAAGGACATAAACCCCTCAAACCAACTGACAAGTACCAATTCATCCAGGAGGGTTTTATTGCTAAGCTGGTGATTGATAACGTGGACCTGAAAGATGCCGACGAGTACACTTGCATATGTGGAAACTATCGGACAACTGCGTCCCTGAGCGTGAGGGGTAACATGTCAACAACAGCGGTTTATGCTTTGGTCCTGCTATCTCTACCTGCACCAAGTTTCATTAATCCAAATAAAAAGTGTGACTCACATTCCTTCACCATAATGGTCATAAGTGTTTTACATCCCATCATCGATCCACTTCTAATAGTCAGAAAGCCTTACTTACAGCACACTTTGTCCTTCCATTGTATATCCATTGGGGCCCATCTTTGTCTTTCTGAAAGCATTGGTTGAAAACATTAACTTTGGAATCATTATTCATTGCCTGTCTTGTGTATTTATTCTTTTAATAACTGTAAGAATATCCCCTTTGCCTGGTGGGTGAAGCTTGACAGTTTTGGATACCTGACCCTAGTGAATGTGGTTTCCTGCATCACCAAAGCATTGCATTCCCATTCACTGCTGTGCTATTCAAATTATTGAACAATTTGGGAAGTCCTCTCTGAAATATTTAAGATCTGTCTCTTACAGTACCTGTACATCCTATCCTTTTCTATTTTGGTTGTAGCACTTAGCACATCTGCAATATACTGGTAATGTTCAGCCAATAGGCAAAGTTTTCAGTGTTCACACTTGTGAAAAAACGGTGTAATTAGTGTAACAAATTTGCTCACTTATTTGGAGGTCTGGAAACCATGACTTATTGTCAGCTTTGGAGGACTTAAAGTGACATTAAACCCTCAGATTTTTTAACATAAAACAATACTGTAATGTGCGCCTTACTGTAATCCATGGTTGTTTCCCTTCTCTTTGCTGCTCTTCCTTTTAAATCCTCATGTCTTCTCATGCTTGGGGAGAACTTCCCTTTGCAGCTCAGGGCCTCTTCCTGTAGTGCTGGCTCAGGTTACAAACCTACACAAACCTACACACAGACACCGTGTATCTATTCCTGAGACAAGGCAGTCTCCTGCAAAACAGAAGTTTTGCAGCAGCATGAGAACAGACACAGATTTAAAAGGAAGAGCAGCAAAGAGAAGGGAAACAACCATGGATTACAGTAAGGCGCACATTACAGTATTGTTTTATGTTAAAACATCTGAGGGTTTAATGTCACTTTAAATTGGCAAGACCTGGAAAAGAATTACCTTGAACAGTGTTTCTCAAACCTTGTTTATCTCTGGAGCACCATCCCAAACTTTGCAGTGTTGGAGGATTGACTGTACTACTGAAGATGACCAAATGTGTCACTTGTTCCCTGTGGGTTACTGGAGAACATCTCATTTCCATTCTTCTAGACTGTGGCCTCTGTAGAAGATGGCATGGAACCCATAGATGTGACAGCTGCACTCTACAGCTTAGACCGCCCTGTTGTCTCTAGTGCCTGCTACTGGCATCTACTTGTAAAATTGGCATATGATCCTGCCAATTGCACAGAAAGAATAAGTATCGCTGTGGTCAGGCTAAGTACCACCAGTGCTTCACATCCCAAACTTTGGGAAAACACTGTTCCAGAAGATGTACCGGCATGGGGGAAAACTACAGGCAATAAATAGTATTTACAAAGTTGACGCTTACGTTGTCCTGTCTTTTGTTGTCTGAAAGATGGAAGTGGGCTTTCATATTGTGCCGTCTTGTATTTTGAAATGCTTTCTTCATCCCACATTCAGCTCTTCCTCCTCGATTTAAAGAAGAGCTACAGAACATAGAAAGCGCGGAGGGAGAATCGGCGACCCTGCATTGCGCGTTAACCAAACCAAAAGCTTCCCTGGAGTGGAGGAAAGGAGAGAAGACTCTGAAAGCAGGAGATAAATATACATTTGTCCAAGAAGGACTCATCGCAGAGCTCATTATAAGTCGACTGGACCTGGATGATGCCGGCGAATACGCGTGTGTTTGTGGAGACCAGCAGACAAAGGCGTTGCTCAGCGTGAAGGGTAATTGTCTTCTCACCATGTCTACTGTTACTTTTATTTTACTAATTATCCCATATCATCGCCATATTCCAAAATCATCAGCAACATTGATTTTCTCATCTGCCATTCTCACCATTCCGTCAATAAGCATGTACATTTATTTTAATGTTTGTACATTGCAGCGTTCTAATGCACAGTATGTGTTCAGTGTTTTACCTTTAAATTTTTTTTTCATTAATTGTGCATTAAAACTTTTGTCAAAACTAGCAAATCTCATACATAGAAAAAAAATAGAAATATAAAATGCTAAAAAAACAGGGACTTTTGACCAATAAGAAACATATAAAGCCTATAATCAACCTAACCACTGAACCATCACATTCTCAAACAATTCATCCCCACGCAGCTCCCTCCTCATGTATCACTGGCCCCTCCCTTTTAGATTGTAAGCCCTCAGGGGCAGGGCCCTCCTTACCATCTTGTCTTGAATTGTATTGTGATTGTAATGTCTCCCTTATATTTTAAAGTGCTGCGCAAACTGTTGGCGATATATAAATCCTGTATAATAATAATACTGTATTTGATATATGAAACATTTCTGTATAGTGTTTCTTTAAAGGAGAACTATGAGGTGAGTGCTTTTCACTCACCTCATAGTTCTAGCCGACCTGTGACAATGAGACTGTTACAGGTCGGCTCAGTAGATCGGGAGGTGAGTGAACACATACCGGCGTTCGCTCACTTCTCGATCTTGTCACGGCTCTCTGCAGGGATTCCCCCTCCACGCTCCGATCCGCCAGCGCTGACTGGCGGAACGGACGTGGGAGGGGGCGGGTACAGCTGGCTCTGCCTCTAGATAGACAGAGCCAGCTGTCAGTCACGCAGCTGTGCGGATCCCGGTACAATTGTCGGGATCCGCTTCAGCTGCGGCGTCTCAGTATACTGAGCCTAGGGTGACGGGAGGACGCTAGTTTGTGTCCTCCCGTTACCCTAAGGAGAACTATGGGGAAAAGACTTAACCCCATAGTTCTCCTTTAAA